AACATTTCGCTTAATGTTTGTCTCAAATACGGGTAAAGTATTCGCAAAAAGAGTATTATAATTGAATTAAAACTCTTTGGGCTTTCATTTGATGCTTACATCTCATGAAAACGCCGGAAATATTTGTATTTAGAGTGGAATATAGCGTAAGAATAGAGAAATAATTGAATTCAGTTCTTGTCATAAGTTTTAAAAATTAAATATTTTCTGAACAAACAGTTAGTGGAGGAGAGGAATGGGTGAAGAAAATCGAAATCAAAGACATTAATCATAGAAATGGAGTCGTTTTTGGCAAATAAATCAGACTTAAGTTAATTATGTCCTTATTATACGAGTCTATCATTGAAATGATAACATATTATAAATGAATATTCATTAGAAAATTAGTCAAATTGCATGAAAACTCAATCGTATTAATACTATCGTAAGTTTTGCTATACGTTCACAAGTCTCTAACTTATGGTATTTTCATATTGTATAATATTTTTATATCTATTTCTAATGAATCTATAGAGATATTCAAACATTTGCTATTATAACAGAACTCATAAAATTAATTAAAGTTTACAAACATATTTTAAACTAACTTATAAAAAAATAAATACAAAATATGCCCATTCATTCACAACCAGTATTTGTGTTAAACATTCAAATATTGTGTCAAAAAAAGTCCAATCATTTAGTGAACATCATTGTACAGGTAATTACAATTTGCCTGTAATCGCAAAAATCAATGACTAACACAAATGTTTACAATAGTATGACATTTAAAGACAATAAGTTTGTTTAGAAAAAAAGTCCAATCATTTAGTGAACATCATTGTACAGGTAATTACAATTTGCCTGTAATCGCAAAAATCAATGACTAACACAAATGTTTACAATAGTATGACATTTAAAGACAATAAGTTTGTTTAGTTGTCAAAATAGATTACTCAATATACCGGTACGATTACATGTGTAATAAGTTTGCACAACACGGTGTAAACCAGGAAAACTTAGATAACCCGGTTTATAGTTTAGCATTAAAATTACCATATTTTTGTCTATTATAACAAAATTGTCTAAATATAGCAATAAATTATAATCAATTTCTATTTATAGTGAATACAGTAATAAGCAATCATTTGAGACACCAAACTCGTAAACATGGCAATGTGCAAGGTTAGTTTAAAATGTAAAATATTAATCGCAACCGTATTTCATAAGCGGATCAGTTATGGCGAGACAATAGTCTAATGGATCGTAAATTAGCAATAATTATCAAGTCTTACTGAAGTAAATGCGATAATCGGATGAGTTTTCTTGTCCTCTTTGATCAGTAGTTAAGGCCATCGTTGACACCGTTGTGTGAAGTGATCTGCGGATCAATTGATTGGATTGATTTGTGGCACACTTTGAATGTATGAGCGATTGAGTGGTGAGTAGTGAACAGGAGTTGCGGTGATTGTGTTGACTGTGTCTCCAATGCAATGAAACACTAATTGGTTTAGCCGTCGATTCAATCAAACGTTTTTGAGTTGTGATTGTCTTCTGGACGTCACGTAAGACGAGACCAAATGCCGACCAAATGCTGTGTTTCTGAGCAGACCTTGACTTCAGTACAGATAATGACAATGAGTTTGTGCTATACTTTACGCCAAATGTTAACATATTTTCACACATTTAATGCTAAATCGCGTTATAATGTTATCGCAGTTTGCGAGACACTTATCGCACATACAGTGCAGGCATTGGTTACCAAACCATTCATACAATTAGCACTCAATTCATGTGTTAATCTCATCTAATCATCAGCTAATCCTAACACTCAGTTCACACATACCCTGAACATCCTTACCAGCGATAGCATTATAAATACGGCTATTGTTATACGGTTTACAACTAATGAAACTTTACATGTGTTAATCTCATCTAATCATCAGCTAATCCTAACACTCAGTTCACACATACCCTGAACATCCTTACCAGCGATAGCATTATAAATACGGCTATTGTTATACGGTTTACAACTAATGAAACTTTTATTTCTATTATTTTTATAAACAGTTTTTCGCATTAAATACGGGTTTTAACGACAAATATTGTAAACTATAGTTCACTTACATTTGAAACGTTGAGATCCTATTGACTGCTTAGATTAGATGTGGTGTTCAGTGTTAAGCACCACTTCACTGATAATTATGAAAAATATGTATTTTGTATTCAATTAAGTATTTCAATGACTGATTGAATAGACGTTTAGAGAGACATACAGACAGAGACACCACATGTGAGACAATACATGCCATCTGTACCTCATATCGCATAGCAGGCGCTGACTGTATTCAATGGCATACGAGTGCATCGATTCACTGCAAAACTCGTAAAGTGTCTCAAAGCCGGTGCCAACACTTATGGCCCGTAAACTGATATCTGTTTATATGTGGCAAACATTTATAGTCATAAACATGTGGTTTGTTTTCAGTTTTCCTCGTTTTATTTCCTCTTTTCACTCGTTTTTCCTGTAGTTTACGTATTAATGGCTAATATTTTTAGTTTTTTACGGATATATCGAGGTTTGTCCGTATCTCATATAATATCTGTTGTCATGACAACTGATTATAATATAGTAGACGTCACGCAATAGGCGCTAAATTTGAATGACTTGTGACTATAATCAATACATTTTGACATTTGATTGACTGCATGTTGAAAGGTTACCCGGATGAATGTGAACCAAATATGTTGCTATATTTATATATCGGATATCTATGATAACTTACTAATAGGTGCAATTATATTGACTCAATTAGCGTATACGTTGCTAATTATAGGCTTATAATTTACAGCAAAAAACCATTTGATTTCATTAATTTGTGTCACAATTAGCACAAACCTCTCCCTCACGTCCACTCAATAATGAGTTGATCTCTAAATACAGAGAAATGTGTCAAAAAGTATATAACGAAAAAGTTGTACACTTGAAATGAAAGTAATTAATAACNCGATGTTATCTCCGAGAACTCTATTTTAGCAAATTATATAACAAATAAGAATATGGATAGAGAAATGAGATTCAATTATAAGTTATATTATGCTCTGTATAAATTTATATAAATCAAAATATCTTTATAAAATAAGCGAATGTAAAAATATTGATTAAATGCATAATTTTAAAAGTTCACTTTTCACTTAATTTTATCTTTGTTATTGATTATAGAAATAAATTATTCATTTTGAAAATATAAATTCTTAATTATCTTAATTTATAAAAGTTTATCTCAAAACACTTTTTTCTTATTTGTAATATTAATACAATATTTATGATTTTGACAGTAGAAAAATCCAAATTTTTATCAAAACATATATTTGAAAATTCCTGTGATAAATGTAATTGAATTCTCGTAACATTTATATATGAATTGATTTCAAAGTATTGGGAATATCTCTAAACTCTATGTAATGGACGGACGGGAGGAAGAGTTAGCGATAAAGAAAGATATGATATTTGAAAACATATTTCTTTACTTCATATCGATTGAGGAAATAAGTCTTAACCAAAAAGCAAAATATTATGATTTTTATGACTTTAATTTTTTTCTTTCATCTGATGTCCAGGAAATAGAAATTTTTGTTACGTTTTTCTCGAGTTATAAATTTGTGGATCATTACGGCATTTGTACCAAATATCGTAACAAATTTTGTTTATTGATAACGTAAAACTAGCTTTCTCACCCGAATATAAATAGTTATTCATATTTTTATTAAAACACAACTGAATTATGCATATTTTTTTGTTGAATTTAAAATTCAATAAATTATTTTCGGTCTCAAAACACGAATTTACAGATTTGTAAGACATCGCAGATATGATAAGGCGATGTCATAACCATTACTAATGGATTCATACATTTTGCAGACAATTTATATTAAATGTCCAAAAACTTAATGCATTTTATACTCCCTTTGAATGCAAATCAATTCAAAATCTATTTATGGTGCATAAAAACAGATTTGTGAACAAATTCCCAAAATGTTTATTTGCATTAATTTTACCATATATACTGTATATATATATCACTTAATTTAGTCATTATTTGTATTTTGATTATTTTCGCATATATTGTCTGTGAACCAAACTCTTGTTTTAATTTTATTGGAGTTTAAGGTATTACTAAAACAATATAAATGCAAACGTCAGCCCAAATGTCTAGCGATTATTGCGAGTTTATTCAACATTTTGTTATTAAACTTGTACAAAAATATAAGTTATAAACATTTAAAAATATCATAAATATTTATAAATTTATTAATATGATATATAAAGTGATTTGTTGTTTTAATTAGTAAATATTGATAAAATGAATACAAAATAAACAGTTCTTACGGGCTGACTAAACTGAAAGTGAATTTAATTGACTGATGGAAAAGGAGTAAATAATAACCCAAAATAATTAATCATATTTTGGGAGTCATTAATGACTGAACGATTTTACTTTCCAATCGATGTTTCATTTGCTTCAATAGTATAGCACGAAAAGTGTTCACATAACTTATATACAGTGTATGCTATAGTATTTCATTAACTTGGAAAAATGCATTTAAAATAATTGCGAACATAATTGAAATTAAAATTTAATTAAATTGAGTGTTTATTGCAATTTAGCGAGGAAAATTGATTTGCCAAGTGAATGCCATGTTTGTGAAATTAATAATAAAACAATGAAAATGATATACAAATATTCAGTTAATATTGATTGAGAGTATAATAAGATGGGTCATAGAGTGATGTCATTACTGGATAGCGATTATCACTCTATTTCGCGTGTTTGGCACTCATTTAGACAAATGTAAAGACAACCACAAATAAAAAGCTCAGTCCCTATCATCCCTATCCCTGACAGTACATGTGATAATGTTTACATTTCATGATTAGACAATCATATTTTTATTGATCCCCCGGCGCTTTTATTCACTCTCTCTCTCTCTCTCTCCTCGCTCTATAGGAATTCAAATTCAATTCACAGTCGAAAACATTTCTTAGACATTGAATGCGATGAAAGTGCCTTATCTTTGCTTTTAGTCAATCAATTAATTTACAAATAAAACCCAGAACCTGTTCATTAAATTCATGCAAATAATCTTTCAATTAACAGGCATTCCGTAACAAAACTTGGATTTAAAATAGTCGATAGAAAGTTGTAGTTTGAACCCTTTCAACCCAAATCAAGTGTTTAGATATCAATTTCAATAGTTATTACATTTATTAACTACTTTGTAAGCATGGTATAATACGGTATCTGTCTAATACTGTGTGTTATCTAACGGAACTAATAAAGTCCAAAAACAACTTATTAGCAATCAGTAGATTTGCAACCTGCTCCTTTAAACACAATATTCAGTATAAAATAAAATTCCTAATGCATTTCAGTGTATAATAAGTATTCCTAATGATTAGATAACATATAAAATGCATTGAATTTATTAAAACCATTTTATCAAAAGTTTTTATTTACCAGCCTTTGAATGATGCAAACAAACACCCAGATATGTCAACTCACATATTAATACTTTATAATCTTACACTCATTTTTGTTATTAATTACTTTCATTTCAAGTGTACAACTTTTTCGTTATATACTTTTTGACACATTTCTCTGTATTTAGAGATCAACTCATTATTGAGTGGACGTGAGGGAGAGGTTTGTGCTAATTGTGACACAAATTAATGAAATCAAATGGTTTTTTGCTGTAAATTATAAGCCTATAATTAGCAACGTATACGCTAATTGAGTCAATATAATTGCACCTATTAGTAAGTTATCATAGATATCCGATATATAAATATAGCAACATATTTGGTTCACATTCATCCGGGTAACCTTTCAACATGCAGTCAATCAAATGTCAAAATGTATTGATTATAGTCACAAGTCATTCAAATTTAGCGCCTATTGCGTGACGTCTA